CTCTCTCTCTCTCTCTCTCTCTCTCTCTCTCTCTCTCTCTCTCTCTCTCTCTCTCTCTCTCTCTCTCTCTCTCTCTCTCTCTCTCTCTCTCTCTCTCTCTTTCTCTCTCTCTTTATATAGGTTATAAGGTACTTCTATATAATAACTACTGGGAGATTCGATACAAATATTTTAAAATGTTTAAAATGGTTTTAAATCGTTTTTAGAAGTTTTATAAGGTTTTTTAAGGTTTTTAAAAGAGTTTATAAGGATTTTAAAAGGTTTTTATAAGTTATTTTTACGCTATTTATGAAAGATATATAAAGTTTTATACACATACAAAGATAATTTGTGTATATATTTATAACCTTATACACATATTTGGAAAACTTTTAACATTTTTAATGGTTTTTCTGATATAATTACTGCAAATAAATAATTGCATTAATTACAAGTATAAACTGTGGTGTAGATCATTAAGAATTAGAACTTTTTTTTCACTCTAGCTTTGTATTTGCTATTTATTTGGTGTGGCAAAATCGGTCTTATTTAGCCCCAGTATATCGCTTCATTTTTTTGTAAATAATACTTATACATGTCTAGTTATTGTATATGTACACGATTCAATTCCAAATGCGATGCACACATATAAATCTGTATTATGAAATTATGAAAAAAAAAACTCCTAAGTAGCTCTTTAGAAATCCTCACAAATTGTTAGTAATTAAGAAGTCTTTAGTCCTAGCTTTCCACGCACTTGTTCTGCTCTTTTGTTGACATAAAATGCTTCACATGCCCATGGTGGATCGGTCTTTTCAATGACATCTTCTTTCTGTAGCTAATAAACTTCTTCGATAGCAAGGTTGTAATGGTATGGATTCATTCCTGGATGACTAGCCTTGGTAGGGTTGATATCTTTGTTTTTCTTGAAAGGTGAAGGTATAAAGAACTTTGGATTCTTCCATAATAGTGTCGAGCATTTTGTGAGGAACCCAGAATGAGAGGCAAAACAGGAGGTGTTAGCAATCTCTTCTTTGATGGGACATAAGATCTCTATAGGGCAAAGATGAGACATTGTCGTCCAGGGTAGTAGTTGATTTTTGTGCTTAAGTCCTTTTGGATGACATGAAAGTCTTTGGAGGCCATGAAGAACATCAAATCCAAGGATGAAGTCATTTCCTATTTACTTTTGTTTTGATCATGTATCCTGGAAAGAGTTGGATGTAGATCGGATTACTGATGAGGGAGATGTGGAATGTTTGTCCATTAGCTGCTTAAAATGAGACAGAGCATGTGTTCCAATGTAAATATGGAAGGATATTTGGTTTTTTGATAGAGGATGCGGCTCCGGTGTCAAAGTATTTAATGGCAGGTATGGGCTTGTCGTATTTGGTGGTAAGGATGTAAATCTTTGCATTTGGTGATGGTTGAGATAGATAGGCCAGTTCTCCATGATCCGATTGTTCCACTCTGCAAGCATCAAATGTGTATAAGTCGAACAACATCAATTGGTCATCTGGGTCTTCTTCATCATCAATATTAGATTCTGAATATTCATCTTGTTATTCTATCCCCATTGCAAGGTCTGTATCGTCTGTTGGTTCATCTTCAAGGGAAAAGATGGATTCAATATCTGAGTCATCAATTTCTTCAGTTTGCGCCACGTATCCAAGAAGATTATTTATCCTTTTCTTGTTTGCGCATTGTTTCGTATAGTGCCCATTTTTCTTGCAGATGTAGCATCTATCTGATTTCTTGACTCCTCTTTTGTTTTCTTCCTAAGGAACTTCCACTTCTTCTTTATTGAATATTGTGGATATATCTTATGCCATTTTCTTTTGAACTTTTTCTCTGTTCTGAAGCCTGTAGAGCAGGTGCATTTCTTCTTTCTGCATTTGATGGAAAGTTCTGGGCGGTCACATGCTTTTCCGAGGAGCTTCCCCTGTTCATGGAGTTGTTTGAAGAACTGATGGGAATTGCATAGCCTTTCAAGTGTTGAGAGGGAAAGCTGGTAGATTTCTCCAAGCGCAATTTGGTTGAGATGCATGTTCTTAAATGATAGGATTCTTGATGTCTCAGTCCCAAGTGGTTCTGGGAGGGAATTCAAGTATTTCTGTTTAAGATTAACGTCATCTATTCCATTCAGGGCATAGAATCGCTTTGACATTCGATCATAATGCTTCTCCTAATCTTTTGTCTTGAAGGAGCAGCACTTCATATTAAGGTATTCTTCTCCTGCTTGGTGAGTGTAATGTTCCCACGTGCCAAGAAATTTGTTGTGGATATGCCCCATAAAAGCGTCGTATTCCTCTTCCTATATACGTCCATCATCGCTCTCAATGTCCTCGTTCTCAACAGTTGGTTCCGCCATCATGAAAGTTTGGACGAAGACTTCTTCTTCTGAATCATCTTGTGGTTCTTCCATTTTTGTTATCACTACTTTCTTTTTGGAACTTCCCTTTTGTTTTGCTTCTTTTTGGAGATAAGTGATGATTAGATTGGCTTATTCCACCATCAATTGTGATGGACTCTCCTCTGGGTGATTTTTGGATGTGGATGGTTGGTTATGGATTTTTGGCGATGTAGGTTTTTCAGTATGTTTTTTGTTTTTAGTGATAGGTTGTTCTGAGGTGAAATGTGTTGGTAAAAAGGATGAGAAAAAGATAGGGGTTGTGATTGGGCTGTGTAGGATGGTGTATATATAAGGTACGGTGCAAAAAGATCATAATGCATTTGGGCTTGTGTTTGTGGTTAGTTTTGTAAGGACTTTAGTTGGGCTTTAAGGGTTTTTAGCTCGGATTCTTTTTGGGTCATAAGAGGAGAGTTTATGGATACAGTAGTTGCCAACTGGAGGAGTTCTTGATGGAGGGAGGACATGTTTTTTGTTATCTCCTATATAGAGAGATCCAGAATGGTTACCTTTTTGTCGATTTGGCTCCAGCGATTGTTTTGGGTTGTTGTATTTTCTGATTGCCAATTCAAAGTTGCTTCGGCCGCACTGACTTGCTTCACTATTCTATATGGCTTCTTTATTTTTGGATTCTTGATCTTCCACGAGTATTTCATACTGTTTTCTTCAAACTCTTTTGATTAAAATGGTGACTAGGATGAGGGCCAAACATGTAGGTCAATGGTAGTTTTTCCCTGTCCGGGGTTGCTGGGGTCGAGCTATTCGAATACAAAACATAGTATTCTAATTTTCCATTACTTGGTTCACCAAGAAGTCCGACCTGAGGATCTCCTGATTCGTATCTTTCTTTGAGGAATTGTTGTGAAAATTTCTTTCCTCTTTTTCGCCTCGGAATTTCATCTTCATCAGAATCGTCTTCTAGACATTTTTGACAGTCACAAATATCAAAGAATTTATGGCCAGAGTCATCAATGAATGCGTAGACAGGATTTCCAAGCAAATTAAAAGATGAGATTGGAACGCCACGAAGACGTGAATCTATCTCCATGAATTGTTTTTCGCATGCAGGAGGGATCATGTTGATCTCAGTGCAAAAGGCCGCCGGTCTTGACTTTCCTTCTTGTGCCTTGAATGCAATTCCTACAGCTCCATATTTTCTTCTATGGATAGAGGAATCCATTGATTGTATTGGTGTACTTCTTTCATGGATTTTTTCATAATTAGTTACCCATGATTCCGGAAGTAGCTTGACTAATTCGCTTCTTGGGATTTGCCTTGGAATGTGGATGTATGACAGAATATGTTGTGACTCAAGTTTAATGAGTAAGGCATCTTCAGTGTCTCGAGGGAGACTTAAAATCCATTGCATGATTTTGGACTCTATATGTCATTTGATGATGCGGTGTCGCTGCATACATGTTTCCAATTTGTGCAGCGCCAGTAATCTGAAGTTTGATCTGCATGTTTCGACAAATTTTTGGATCTTCTAGTGCCACTTTAAAGTTTGGAAAAAGAGTCTCAAAGATAGTGACAGCATTTAATGTCATCTGAATGGTTGCGATGCAAGCATATTGGTACTCTTTTTATATATGGTATCGAGGAGAGCGACTCTTGTTACTACCGGTAAGCCTTTTCTTCCATGAAGAGTTAACGCTAGCGTATTGCTCCATAACGCAGATGTGTGTAGCCAAGGTTTTGCCAATGGTGAATCATCCCTTCGTTAAGACAGAGAGGAACCATTTGCTCCGCTTTTGTTGCAGTGACCAAAAATTGTTCTAGAAGAGAAGCCAGAACAAGTTCTTTTGTAGTATGTTTGTTAGGCACAAACACTTGTCTAATGAATTTTGGGAAAGTAGAATTTGGTTTTGAGAAGGCTTTGTAAGGATTAAGCAAAGGAAATTGGGTAATAGGCACTTTACTCTCATAACTTATGTATTCTATTTCATGTAGATAATCTACTTTTTTAGAGGTTGATTTTCGAAAAGAGGGTGTTTTGGCAAAAGTTGGTTTGTTTTCCATAATGTATATAGAAACCAGAAACCAAGACAGAATGCTATAAACTTCTTCTCAATTTTCAAAGTAGTAACAATCCATAAGTTGTTTTCATGGGACTTTTAAGAGCTAAGACTATAAAGAAAATAATCATGAGGTACAAGCTATGCAAACTGAGGCAAACAATTCACATCAAATGAGCCTCAAGGTACTTCAAAGTAGTAACAATCCATAAGTAGTAACAATCCATCAATTTTCAAAGTAGTAACAATCCATCAATTTTCAAAGTAGTAACAATCCATAAGCTGTTTTCATGGGACTTTTAAGTGCTAAGAATATAAAGAAAATAATCATGAGGTACAAGCTATGCAAACTGAGGCAAATAACTCACATCAAATAAGCCTCAAGGTACTTCAAGCATTATGACCTCACAGATCATTTCTTTAATTCTTTTATACCAGCTTAACAAGATTTCTGATGTGGAGGATCCATTAAAAATGGCAACCACAAAGCATACTCTCTATGCAAAGCATATATAATAGAAAACAATAGTATGGCATACTACCTCTTAGATATCAAAGAGTGAAAGCTTAGACTACCATCGCTCTGATACCAAAATTACAAACACATAGTAGGTACAACCACATATAAGGTTTATAGGATCGAAATATATGAAACAGGTATATGAAAGAGATTAAGTGTTTATGGAAGAGAATATAGTTTATATAAGAGAAAGCTTTCATTATACAAGAACACTATCAAGAGGATATAAAGAACTCTTACGATTTTAGACACTTCAGCTTATGGTGAACAACCCTCGCCAAGCTTGGTATTTATAGTACATGACTCAAGGAATATTACATAGCATCTTTCTTTCACACATATTTACACACACCACTCATCAAGTATTCACACCATTTATTTTACATCATAGCATACACACCACTCATCAAGTTGCCGGGTTGTAGCAGGGGGTCTCACCGGGCGGGTTGTTACACCTTCACATCAAACATGTCAAACCAAAACTTTATTTTACATCAATACTTCACTTCATACTTTAATTTCATGTCACTAAATATCTTTATTTATTTCACATCAGTTCTTCACTTCACACCATACTTTATTATTACCACAAAAAAATGGAGTTTCAAACAATCAGTATTTGTAAAGTGTTTTCTGTTTAGTGTTTTCGTAAATTTTAGTATTTATATGTTATGAATTTCTTCGTCTTTTTTTTTTTGTTTTAAGAGATTACAACTTTCGATTGTGCTACATGATTTATTTGCTGTTTAGGAGTTCAAAGCCACTGGTGATATGAAAATTTAAACATCTTTTGAGTTTTCTTATTTGTTAGGTGCATGAGATCATGCTGGGGTTGGAACACAACTGTGGTTAGTATAATAAAAAGATTCATATGTCTCAAAAACAGAGGAAAAGCAATGTGTAGTTTGGTTTGTCCTACTGTTTCTTTTTTAATTCCGTTTCGGTTTAATTCAATCGTCACACTTCAATTCGACCATGTTATATTTACAAACCTAATTGTTATGATAGTTATGTCCTTGCATTTTAAAGCTATTATTTCACGGATTTTGCTTGATGATAATTGATAACACCATGATTTATCTCTACTTTAAATTCTGATGCGTTGTTTTTAAGGTTGAAGAACAGAGGAGTTTTATCTTTCGCGATTATGGCTTCCTAAATAGTCTACGTACGTATGTTGGTCTGCGATCAGAAGGTAAAGAAAAGAAAAACCAAAAATCTGACTTCTGTTTGGTTAGGTCTTCAAAGCATTACTAAAGTACAAGTTTTGTATCAGCGAACCTTCACATACAAAATGCAATGCGCATACTCAAAAATGTCATATTGATTGGATTACAACTACTGATAAGTAAGTGCTCAAAGCCTCTTCTTGAGTACTTGCTTACTTAGAATTAATCTAACTTTGTCTCTCTTTTTTTCCTATGTTCAGAGTCGAACAACTTTTGTTGTTTTGCTAAATCAAAAACAAAACCAGAGGTCCTTAAACTTGCTGGTAATAGACTTCTCTTCGTGAATGGTCTTGATTGGGTTCGTCATAGACGAATCTTAAACCCTACATTCTCCATGGAAAAAAATGAAGGTTTTCTTTTCTTCCCTTCAATTGTTCCTTCTCATGTCGATTAGAATACATAAAACAGTAGCACTTTTTGCTATTTTTGATTCTGATACGACACTATCACAGTGTTCTTTTGCCGTAGCTGAAACCTGCATCACAAACTGCTATACTTGACAGAAATTTGAGCTTTCTGCTTTTTGTTGATGTAAATAATTGTGTTTGTGATGTGGTTTTGTAAGAAATCATATAATGGAACAAGACTATAATATGACCAAAAGCTTCCCATATATATGTTAAGTTTACTTACAGTATCAATACAAGAACAAAAATAACTTACGAAAGAAAATGCTTGCTAGACACAAGAAATGACGAGAATACACCTTAAACGTTGATATATAGTACAGTTAATTATGAGCTATCCAAGGCCAACTAAGATTAGGATGTAAACAGTATGGACGAGACGACCTGAAGGACAATTCTATAGGAAGACAAGATCCACACGACGACCACATAGTAGATTAAACAATTTATGCATTGTTAATACAACATAGCCACCCAAGAGTATGTAAAGAGACAAATGCATTGAAGCAATTTGACGAGACGGCTTCAACATGGACGACCTGACGCGACATTGACTGACATTATGACACCCGCTGGATCAGACTCACCCTTCTCAACCCCCAAACATGTCTACGGCTCACTGGAACAGACCACAAATTGAAACACACCGTTCAGAGACACCCAACTCTAAATTGGGTTTAAACATTTTTAACGCAATCAGGGTCAAGTATTTCATAAACAAATAACTGTTGCTTTCACAAGGCATAAAAACAACACCAGTTGTTACATATACGAGTTTCAGAGGTAAACAGTTTATTAGACAAACCTGATCGTTCTCGTCTGGTGAATGGGAAGGAGATTCATTTGACTGGTCCCCTGGTTTATCAGCTCCATAGTTCTGCCTGTTGCATTTGCTCCTTAATGGATAGTTTACATTTCCCCGATTATCACACTTCTGACTCCCTTCCGGTGCATTTTTTTCTGGTAAACAACAACACATATCCTTATGTCAGTCTCAAAGATCATCAAGTAAGCTGCAGCATTTAGGAATTTTCAGGGGCTAACTAGATATTTTATCTCAGTTCCCAATCTGCTGCAATTATAAGACGTTAAATGTCAGAGCTTAAGAAAATAATCCCAAGATCTATCCAAGTAAGCTATCTATAATGATTAAGCAAGCTGTTTTTCACTTTTTTGATGGTCGAATAAACCAAGCAAGCTCTAGAATTCATAACAATGTATATGTAGCCTATGTGAAACAGTCAAACTGAAACAAAAAGAAACAGCACAAACCTGGGAACCAGGCTTTAGAGTGTTGCACTTCGTCATGTTACATACAAATCTGAATGAGAAGTTTACATTACCACAATTCGGACATGTCCAATCATTATCGCGAGTCGAATCTGTTAAACAACATAATATGTCAAGTTGACTATCATTATAAAATAAAGGCCAGCTTCTACAATGAACATGACCAAGAACCTATGCGACCATGTCAGCTTCCTGTAAATCAGGAACGATGATGTCAAGCCTCATCATTGCCTTGTAGCGTTGAGGAACCCGTGCTCCACTGTGCATACAAATCTCAACCACAGCAGGGGCTTTACCATAAAACCTCCTGAGATTTCCGGTAAGGGGATTTCCCTTAAGGTCTCTCACATGCCATACATAGTTTGGAGGAAAGACTTCGTCCACAAGAGCATCTTGCCATCCATGCTTCCCATCTCTCCATTGGTGTTTGAACTCTCCGCACAGCTTCACGCTATGTCCCCACGGTCCTACATGCACTTCAGAACAATATCCACATGCTTTCACTGTGAATTTCCTCATCAATTTTGTCACCCCTAATCTTACTTTTTCATAAGCATCCATTGTTTCCTGTGCTATCTTAGGTATGTCTTCTGGTGTGGGAGGTGGATACCTTTCACAAGCACCAAGTGTGTCAAGCTCGGCTAGTGGAGAGGATAATGATGATGTCTGAGGCTTATCAGGTTCTCTAACATATCCACCATGATCGATCACTCTCTTCCCCATCATTCGGATTGGCTGTGTCCTTCTACGACAAGGATACTCTGGGATATCAACTCCAGCCTGAATACATAGCTCAACAAGTGCTGGGATTCTATCATAGTCAAACCGAGTTTCATGCTTTATGCGTCGCCCAAAAGGGTCATACATGTGGTACGACTCAACAGGAATGAGAACATCATTGATGGTACCCTTGACCCATGAATGAGAACCACGCCGCTGTGAATTTGTTGGACCATTGCAATCCTTAATATTGTGACCAGAATTAGCCACATGAACCGCCCCACATTCACTGCAAGCAAAGACAGGAACAACATGGAGAAGCTGTGCTAAACCCTTGATCAACAGTTTCCAATTATCTATTACTTGAGAAGCTACAGGAACAAGATTGGGAACTAGCAATCCATTTTTGGGCGGATCTAACTGTTTCTCTATGCCCATCTGAGCAAGTTTCTTATCTTTCCTAGCTTCTTCCTGAATTTGCTTAAAAGGAACAGGATACGGTTTTTTCTTGTTCTTTGGTAAAATAGGAGGAAGATCCACATTCTGCGTAGATACATGCCTTTTCTTGAAACTTGTGTGCTGTATAGGCTTCTGATTGAAACAAACAACGGTTCCTAACCTAATCCCACACTCTCTTTTAAGGATTGACCGAGGAATCTGCATATATAAATTAAAAAAAAAAATAATGAAACTTTAAAACCTCAGGATTGGAATCATCAAGATGAAAGTTAAAGGAGATGAAATGGAAACCTGAAAGCAACTTCCATAAGATCCTTTGGCGGAAATATTAATTAGCTTTGGATCTACGGTCTGAAGGTTAACACCTCTACAAGCAGGCGAAACCAGAAGCATGCTGACTTGTGAGAGGACTACACGTAAGAACCCAAATCAGAATTAAGCCCAAAATCAATTACTTTACCCGTACCCTGCAAGATTTTAGAAACAAGTGAGGTTTTGACATCGTTGAGTAATTTCATCGAACATGTGGTGTGGAGGAAAGACGAGAACACAGAGAAATGCAAGTGCTGAAACAGTGACACATTCTTGTTACTAAACACTAATCAAATCCTTGTCAAAGAGAGTTTATAAATCCAAAAACACAAATCAAATCCTCAATGACAATATAGCCTCAAGGTTAAACCAGGTTTCGACAAAAACAGAACAAACCCAACAACCATGTGGAAGTGACGAGGTATTTCTCTGTAACAAAGGTATTTCTCTATAACATGCCATAACAAAGGTATACACATAACTGTAACAAAGGTATTTCTAGTAACTGTAACTGTAACTGTAACAAAGGTATTTCTCTATAACATGCCATAACAAAGGTATACACATAACTAATAGCTGAATCTATGTAATTGTGTCCACAAGTAGACTAATGGGAACAAGTAAGCACTAACTAGACTAATCTTTTATCAAGGCAACGCAGCAACAGAACAATTATGTTCCTAAATTCATCATACTAAGAACCACCTAGCTAAATCCAGCAATGTTCTCAGAGATTCTTCACGCAAATTCTACTGCTTAATGATCAGACACATACTCACAGAAGATAAAAATCATTTGTTCTGCTACAGTACTTATCTAATCTCCAACAAAGATAAAAATCATTAGTAGCTAATTCTAATGCCGAAAATGAATTAGAATCAGACTTTTTTTCTACATGTCTTTATAGGGAACCTAAGCTAAGATTCAAAAGCCATCAACACAAGCCAGACAACACAAACCAGAAGAGAAAAGGGTTTTACAAGAACTAACCAGAGGAGAAAAGGGTTGCCTCAGATCTCTTCGGTTGCTCTATAACAATCGCTGCACTGTCCTGTTACAAACCAAAACATCAAAATCAAGAGTCTTTAAATGATATTAAACCCTAAACAAAACGAAAAAGACAAGAGTCTAATTGTAATTCTACATCTACACATGCAAAGCTAGCATCTTTTGATCCCAACGACTTTAGTAAATAGTTGCAGAGAGAAGTAGAGAGGAAAATTCATAAGTGATTCATAAGCAAAAACAACAAAAGAAGAAGAATTTCATAAAGGAAGATTCAGTAGACACAAAGAAACATTAGTTAGTACACAAAAAGGAAGATTCATACACCTGTAGACTTGTCATATCAATAATAAATAATCAAGACCAATCTTAAGATCATCTAACACACACGACGAATTGTTTATCCCAACCAAACACAAATGGGCACTGCTCACTCAGTAGCTAAGATTCAAAAGCCATCAACGAAATGCAACAATGAAAGAGCTTCAATCCAAAATCGAATTCTCATAATCCAAAATCGAATTTTAGAACAAGACTCACCAAAATCCGTAAAACCCACTTTGAGATAAAGCTCAATCCGTGGCCAGCAATGGCGGAGAAAGAAGACTCATATGCAAACAACTGAAATTGAAGACAACTGAAGACGAAGCAGCAATACCGGACAATGGCGGACGAAGAACTCAGTGGAATCGAGGGGAAGAAGAAAGAACGAGAAGGTTTCGTTTTGTTTTTTTGCTTGAAGGTGTCGTTTCAATTGATGTGTTGAAAAAAAACCCCATAAACTTACTTGGGTAGACCTATTTACGACTCTAATATTTCGGATACCTGTCCATTAAAAACGGAAAAATGTAAATATGGGGAATATTTAATCCCGAACTTTAAAAATCATTTTAATAATAAAATTTGTGTTGAATTATCTGCAAAATAACTACGTTTTGTTGACTTTACTGATTTAGGTACGATGTTTAATCTCTGCTAAAAACTTGAAGATGGGTTAATTATCTAATAACTACTTTTGTTTAGCCTAAACGACCATGATTTTAAACGACAAAACGACGTTAGTAGTCGCTTTCTTCATCCACGGGCAACCATTTAACAAGAGGTAGAGATAAATTGTGGATTTTTCTAGAGTTAGAGATTTAGATTCGTGAATTATGAATCGATTTGGAGATTTAGTTTCTTCAATTTGTTAAACAACGTAGTTTTCGGTTTAAAAATGTGGTCATTTAGGCTAACGGAAGCAACTCACAGATAGTTAAACCCGTCTTCACAATTTTAAGTGAGATCGAACCTCGTGTTTAAATCTGCGAAGTCAATGAAAATTACCTATTTTACTGAAATGTCAATATAAACTTTGTGATTAAAATGACTTCTTGGAAGTTCAGGATTAAGGGGGGTGTATTGAACTGCCTATTTTAGGAGATTTGAAAGTATTCTTAAAATCCCATGTTATTCAATTGGTCATTTTAAAAAATCTTCTAAAATCCTATGTTATTGAATATGTAATTTATAAAAAAATCATTTGAAATCATTCACAATCTCTTGTTATTCAATCAATCATTATAAATTTCATTTCAAGTACACTGTTATTCAAAATATCACAAAGTTTCTTTTAAAAACTACTGAATGTGATTCTAGGAGACTTTTCTAACATTTTTAGTTAAAATATATGCCTGACAAATCACACCTTTATAGGTGAAACTTTGAAAGATTTAAAAAATGTAATCATAAATCATCTCTCTTCTATGCTTTATCTCTTTCTCTCTCACTCTCAAATATAACTGACCGAAAAAAATGGTGGAAAAAAATGGCTGAGCAAAGTATTTGGGTTAATGAAAGTATTTGCGTCTTCTTCTTCAATTCTCGTTAATGAAAGCATTTGGGTTTTCGTGCCTTGTGTTAGTTTTCACAAACTCAGGATTAAAGCTTGTCAATTTTAGGGTTTTAATTAATGGAGTTGTATTGATGGGTTAATTTCTTGGTTGACGTTTTCAAATGTTATAGTTGTCGTGACACAAAGAAATCCTTGAAGAAATTGAGAGATCAAAAGATCAGTTTTGTGGACACAATTTCATATTGAATTCAGTAAACGAGGTTCATGACATGACTTATCGGCATTGCATAACCACTGAAATCAGAAAAGAAGGAAGAATTGATTAATAATCACCATAATCATATGATGAGATTATCCATAAATATCCTAAAGTCACTTAAAATTCAATAACCAAATCTCACCAAATCTCTAACAAATAACCCAAATCTTTTCAAACCACACTCAAATATCTCAAAATTCTAAAATATTAAAATCCCACCAAATCTCCTAAAATATGCAGTTCAATACACCCCCCTAAATTGTTCCAAAATTGAAAGTTTGAGATTTTTATGACATTTTCCCCCATTAAAAACCCATATTTTTTATAACTAAAAAACGGGTTCGAACACCCTATTAAAAATACGAGTTTATGGTATCCGATGGGTTTTTACCTGTTTTTAACATCCCTACCGGACGACGACAAACAAGCGAGCCAGAGCGGCGGAAGCTGTAAATTAGTTCTTGATTAGAAAAGGAACAGTTTGCACAAAAAACATTTTTTTAACTCTAAGTAAAAAAATACTTCAGTTTTGACCCTAAATAAAACAAAAATCCATTTGATTTTCATTTCTAGAGAACTTAAAATTAGCCATGGGATTATTACCCGAACCAAAAATAGCGGACCGAACCAAGATTTTGATTTTTGGTACGGTTTCGAGTGAGAGAGAGAAATGAACGGTTATCAGTTTGGTTTGGATCGGTACCGATGGTTACCAGAATTTAAGCAAATTACATGAAATTAGACAAACTAACCGAACTGATATAACCAACTCATCTGTTTTACCCAAAATTAACCGATCTTACCAAACCAAATAAATCGAATTAACTGAATTTACCCAACTTAACCGAAATAATTGACCTCATTTACTAATTAACCAAATTAATTAAAAATCTAAACTATTCATTTAATTTCAGTAACAAAGAAAAATAACCGAAAAACCCGATAGCCAAACCAAACCGTTAAATATTTTGGTTATTATCGATAACATTTCTCAAATTCCAAACTATCCAAACAACGAAAATTACCTAACCCAAATTATCCGACCCGACCCGTCACGAGCCTTTGTTAAAACTACGTTCTTCCCATTGTTGGTTTCTTTTTCAAACCTTTTAGATGTGAATTATCTTTTGCATATCTTGTTTTTCAGCTGTGTAGGTTATCAGAGAAGGGAAGACCAGTTTTGTGATATATGAGAGTGTAAAACTAATATAGAGAAGATACTTGTGGTAGAGAGAGTTAACAAAAGACCAGTATTGCTACTTATGTTCCAAGCTTCTATAATGAGACACCCAACATTTACATTCTTATATCCTCTCTATAGCAAAAACAATTCACACATTTATTCTCTTTACTCCAAAATCCTAAACTCCTGTTCCATTTGTCTTTTATCAGAATTCCTTTAGTAATTCATTTCTGCAGCTTCTTAGTGTTAGACCACCTCCAACGGGAGGTGCTTCATGAAATTATTAACATTAAACAGCCAAAAAATAAATCAATAATGGTGGATTCTGCAAGGGGCGCTGCTTAACCAAGCTCTCCAAGGATCGATGCTTAACACAGCTGGCATTTCTTGATTGGGTGAAAAATATATTTTGTAGAAAAGAAAAAATTATCATTCTTTTTTCCTCTCTCTTTCTCTTTCTCTCACGTTGCCTCTTCACTCTCCCATTCAATCACGTTGCCCATTCAATCAATATTTATTAATTAATTAATGTTAAACATTTTTCTGAGGGTTACACGAATGGAGATGCTCTTAGTTCTTTCTCTAAGGACTCTGAGCTGCTAACAAGAACAAGTTATGTTAACGTACCTGGAGACCTTCATATGTGCATTCTTAGTGTTAGTTCTTTCTCTAAAATAATATTACAGAAGTTACAGAGAAGATCAAATACAATAAGCTTAGCCCTGAGATGACATGACATGACACATACAGGTATCCCATGGAAATGCCCAGGTGGAAATAAAACATGAAACAGAAACTAGCATCATAATAGCTAAAACTAGATCATGTCTCTATGTTTTTTTTTGTTGTGGATGCTATATGTTATTTCTTTGGCACATACCATACTAGTATGTTTGCAGAAGATGGATACACAATGGATCTAATTTCTCAACAAAAGTACGCCCATCATCAAAAAGTCACATACGAATGATATGATACAACATTAAACACTAGAAATCCTACTTTTCTAGCCCCACCTGACACAAAAACACTAGGCATACAAAGAGGAATATAAAAGCATCGTTTGTTCATATCATTTATTCCAACGTACAAAATGTACTTTGTTAAAGATTTGGTTCCATTGTACACTTCACCAACAAAATGCACATAACATCAAATATAACCTAGTCTTTGTTGTATACTATACTACTAAACCAACAAAGCCAAGTAGAAGACTAGTAACTTCTCCTAGGCACAGCAAGAGCCTTAAGAGGATGTTTCATGACAACAGTAAACTCAAGCTTCTCGGTCAAGTCAACCTCATGACCTTGGACTTCTTTCCACTCAAACTCCCTCACCATATTGGCTACATAATACTCAAGATGTAACATTGCTAGCCCAATCCCTGGACATATCCTCCTTCCAGCTCCAAACGGCATCATCTTTATCCCTCTGCTTCCAGTTATGTCCACTGATTCTTCTTCCCCAATAAACCTCTCTGGCTTGAACTCCATTGGTTCCTCCCACACCTTTGGATCCCTACCTATCTCTGCCACCATGAAGTTAATCGTCCCCTTCTTTGGTACCTTGTACCCTCCCAATACAGTGTCTTCCGTGACACTGTGAGGCAACACAAAATGTCCTGGAGGATGCCTCCGGAGACCCTCCAGCACCACCGCCTTGAGATAAGGCATCTTCTGAGCGTCTTCTTCCTCCACTTCCTTTGCTTCTTCCCCAACTACACTTGTGATCTCCTCGTGTAATCTCTTCTGGATATCAGGGTTCTTCACTAGGTTGGCCATGATCCATTGCAACGCCGTGGCTGTTGTATCAGTCCCTGCGTTGAGAAACTCAGAGCACAAACTCACAATCTCGTCTTCGTTTAACTTCCTCTTCTCATCAGGAAGCTCCACATCGAGCAAAGTATCAACATATGATTGTACATACTCTTTCTTGTCTTCTTCTAATGATCTCTTCTTCCTCTCTTCAACAATCTTTCTCCGAGCACGAATCAACGGAAGCAAAACTTCATGCTGTTCTTTCCTCATCTGAAAAAACTCTTCCCATCTCTTTCGACAAATCAGTTTAGTTAACTTAGGCCAGATGTTAAGAACGTTGAATCTACTAAAGCCAAGAAGCTGTCTTCTCTGAACATACTCCACTTCTTTGATTTGCTTCTCATCAAGCTTATCTCCAAAACACATAAGAACAAGAAGAGCAAACATAGCATAGTGAAGATGATCAACAACAACGACAGGCTCTTCACCTCTGTTCTTACGAAACCGATCAAACAAGATCTCAAGAACCCAACTCCGCGCGTGAGAATAACATCCCACGCGCGACGGGTGAAGAATCTCAGAAGTGAGGTTCCTACGAAGAAGCCGCCACGTGGCTCCATACCGACAAGAACTGATGTTATGTTGGTTACTAGAAACAATCTTACTGACCGGAGCAGCCGGTGGACGGTCTGCGAAAACGGCGCCGTTTAAAATAAGAGCCTCATGAGCGAGAGAACGATCGGCGACGAAGATGGCGGGACGGGAAGTGATACGGAGAGTGATGATCGGACCTAGACGGTTGTGGACGGAGCGGAGATAGATGTTGAGACCACCTAAGCCTTGTCGAACCCATCGGAGGGTTCCAAGAAAAGGGAAGAAGTTAGGGTCAGGTGGTAATGGAAGAGAGGAGGAGTCACGGCGGCGAAGGAGGAGATTGATAAGAAGAGATATGGAGAGAGAGGCCAAGATGAGTAACCATATCTCCATTTTTTTTTTCTCTATTCTATGTTTACACGTTACCTTTATTTTTATTTTTATGTATTATATATATAAGTGTACATGGCTAAATTCGAGTAACAATATTTTTATTTGTGAACCTACGTGTAACATAATTAATTCTTAGAGCTTAAGAAACTTTCAAAAAAGATTTTAGAGAATTCGAAATTTGGAAAAAAATCAGGTAGAAAATCTTATGTTGGAACTCTCACAAGTCACGAGATGTTTGTTTACTTGGTTGAGGGGGTCTTGGACTCTATCCACGTCAAGCTTTGGGTGAAAGTTATATGGATCTTTTGTTTCTTTTGGTTTATGACATCATCAGTTATGTATGTGGATGAGAAGTGATAATTGTTGAGTTTTTTTGAGTTTTTTTATTATTATTGTTATTTATTTTTATGTTTGATAAGTTCTCTTGGGGACAATATGAAGATTTTGAGCCAAAATTGAATTATTCTTTGATGGAAACTTTGACAGCAGAAAAGCTGCTTAAATTATTTAAAGAGATAAATCACTTAATTGCAATCCTTTATAATGGATGAGTACTTTTAACTTTTCCTTAAATGTTGAGGATTTGGTTGACTGTCAATTTTTTTAGTAATTTTTTAATTACATATTTATTACTCTTTCTTTTCCTAAGAGATATTTTTTCTAAGTTTTTCACACATATTAAAAAAACATCTAAAAATTAATGATAACTGCATCATCTTTGTGATTCACATTTTCTTAGAATTCTAAACCAATATTATTTAGTTATTTACTTTCAAATTTTTAAATCGGAATTTTTTTTCAGAGTTTTTATTTATTAAACCCCAATGGGCAAATACAAGATGGCTTCAAAGCTCAACGGTTTACAAAGGGAAAGCAAATCAGAAAATTTTCCGGCGATAAGGTTGGATCTTGGTTTGACTAACGACAACAGCGAGTCCCGTCCAGGAGCATTTGCAAAAGGCACTACTTTGCTTCTCCTTCGGCGGCTCCAATTATTCAACCAAAGCAAACAAATTTGGACCAAAACCCTATTACCACAGTCGGATCTTACCATTATACATTGATAACTTAAAATAACTATCTTTTAGAAACGAATTTTATTTTGTGCATGTTCGTTTGGTAAACTAGATGAGTTATCAAGATATCGTATCTGAACGCGGTATCTGAACGTAATATCCAAATGATGTTTGTTTCAGTTTTTGAATCATGTGTCCAGAAATTGTATTTAGACGTAGTTATGTTCGTTTTGTATTTTGGTATTTGTATCTAGATACAATACATACGAAATGACCAAAATGCCCTTTGTTTTGTGTTACACATGTTTTCATAATTTTAATTATGTTTATAACTATATAATTATCATATTAAATTTTTAAAAATTTTAAAATGCACAATAAAAAATATTTTTGAACTTTCAGATGTTTTTTCGGTTTGGCGAGAAAATAAAAGTTTGCGGTTTTGGCGGAAAATCAGGTTTTAGCGGGAAAACGAGATTTTGTGGATTTTGGCCGGAAAACAAGATTTTGCGGGTTTTGGCGGGAAATCGAGATTTTACGGGTTTGGTGGGAAAACGAGATTTTACTGTTTTGGCGGGAAAACGAGATTTTACGGTTTTGGCGGGAAAACGAGATTTTGCTGGTTTGGCGGAAAATCGAGATTTTGCGGTTTTTGTAAAAAAATGTTTTTTTATTTTTATTAAAAATAATATATTTAAGAATTTTACAAAAAAAAAAAATAGTAGATAAAAAGTAATTAAGGTTATAGTTGATGAGGGTATTTTAGACTTCTGTAATTTGAGACGCACTTTGGTGCGTCCAAACTCATCTTTTAAACTCATCCAAAATATCCAATTTTTTTGGATGAGTTTTATTTTGCATCTAGATATTGCATCTAGACGCGTTTTTTAGTTTGAACAAAACGAACAAAAACTTATAACTGCGTCTGGCAACTGCGTCTAGATGACCAAACGAACAGGGCCTTTCTAGAAAAATCAACTTTTAGGAACGGTCTATACTCCCTCTGTTTTACAAAAAATTTCATTTTAAAATTTTATTCTTGTTTCATAAAGAGTGTCATTATACATTTTTAATTATAATTTTTATACTATCAATAAAAGTTATAATAATTTTTTATTATGTTTTGATATTTATCAGAAAACGATCTTTTTGTTGCCAGAAAAATATTTACACTATTTTCAACTTTTTTTTAAAGCACACAAACTTTCCCTTTTTCATATTTTCCTCCTAACGTGTCTTTAAAAGTATCAACAACACTAATGTAATCATAAACACTGTTAAATGTGTTCATTAAAAAAAAAAATGGGTCGGATCTTTTCAAATACCTCATATCAAAACCTATATATAGTCTACTAGTTTCAATAAGTTAATAGTTAAAAAACTCACAAAGGATTTATTTTAGAAACATAGAAAACAATTATTCTTTTTCGGAAAAAAGTAAAGAAAAAACTTTTACATTATTAAATATAAATCTATTTTCATACTTCTTAGTATTTTATTTACATAACAGAGTATTATGTATTTGTCCAAAAAAACAGAGTATTATGTAATGTATTAAATGTTTGAAAGGAAGATATAAAAAACCTTTTAAATGAACTAACAAAATGCTAACTTAACAATAAAAACAGACGATATGACATATGAAGGTCTGTTTATTTATTATAAAAACACATACATAAAATATTGTACTTATATTTTCTTTAATTTTTGCTTACTTTTTTGGTAATTTACTTTTTATATTAAAAATATATGTAAAATGTTACGTAAATAAAATAGCATAATATAATCAAAGTTCATGAAAAGAGAATAATAATATTTTTGGTTTCAAATAAATTTAGGGGGGTGTATTGAAAATAGAATTTTAGAGGATTTTGGTTCTTTTTCAAAATTCTCTGTTATTCAACTATGCATTTTTAAATCGCATCTCAAATCCAGTGTTATTGAATATGACATTCATAAAAAAATCCTTCAAAGTTACTCACAAGCCCTGTTATTCAATCAACAATTTGTAAAAATCATATCAAATCCACTGTTAGTCAAAACATAACTTTTGTTTTTTGAAAAACCATAAAAGTGATTTTGGGAGACTTTGAAGTGTTCTCTAAAGATATCCTCAAAGGTTTTGACTACATCCATTAGGCAAAAGATTAGTCACTGTGACCTTAAACTGGATAATATCTTACTAGCCCCTATCGAGAAGCGGATAAGACCTAGCGAGTATGAGGCAGAGATTGCGGATTATTGTTTAGCACTCGAGGAAGGGTCAAGCAAGTATGGAAACGGATCAGGTCATACGATAGGCACAACGCGATACATGTCCTGGAGTTTATACAATCGGTTGTTGATTAAGCTTGTAACACTTGGGCTTTTGGATGCACTGTTTTGGAAATATTTACAAAAGTATTGGATGGGACATGTATCATGTGTGGACACTAAAACCGTCTCCATCTTTCTTTTGGTTCTATTCGTTATTGGTTTATTGATTTGTAAATCCACATAGTATTTGTGAATTCTTATTATTTATAAAATAAAAATACATGGATTTTGAAATAACATGTTTTATGCTTGGATTTTGAATCCTTCTATTTTACACTATCAATTCCTTTCAAATCCATTTAAAACATACTGCAGATTTTAAAATCTAAAAACAGATCATTAAACGAATAACATAGAATTTTAACTAGTATTTATAAATCATACAACCAATAACATAGGATTTTGATAGTTATTTTAAAATCAATGATTGAATAACACATGATTTTTGTTTGGATTTTCAAATCCATCAAAATCAATAATCCAATAACCCCCCATACGTCTACCCTTTTAGTTTTGTTTATATGTATAACACGTGTGTGGCTAAATTCGTGTAACAAATATTTTTATTTGTGAACCTACTTGTAAGTTGTAACACAATTTATTATTACAGATAAAGAAATATGTATATAATTTAAATATTATAGAGAACTAGTTTTGGGGGCCTGTCTATATTTAAAAAAAAAATAAAAAAAAATATTTATCATAAGAAAATGATATCTAAAGCTTTTCTAGAAAAATTTAGTTAACAATTTTTTTTTTGCGAAAACAGACACTTATCAAAAACTTGCTATAAAAGTTAGTAATGTTAAATTGGCGATCACCAAAAAATTTGCGACCTGTTCACCATTATTCTTATTTTAAATAAACTTAATTTTTCAGTTATCCCCTAAAGGAATCCGGTTGGGGAGATGACGGTACTGTTCTGAAACCTTCGCTGGATTATGGTAGAGAGGAGACTCTCACGAAAGAACATAAAGACAATGAAACAATTGAAAACATTTACCGGTGTTGATCTCTCACCTAGAACTTGTAGAAAGTAAAAGAAGTAAAAATAGAATAAAATTGATGACAACAGCCGACGCCGGCCGGAAACGGTGAAAATAGAGAAGTTGTGTTGATCGCTTGAAAAATCGCTGGAGAGAAAATCGTAACCGTTAGTCTTACATTTTATTTTTATCGTTTTACATATAATTTTATGTTGTTTAAGAATAATTAACATAAATATAAATTTTAAATTTTAAAGATAATTTTTTAGAAATGCCCCTTTTGGTCTACCCCTTTTTAAAAAGAGAAAATTATGAGCATTGCCATGAACTGTGTTCATCTTTTTGGCTAATGCCAGTTTCCCAAATCTCTTCCCCCGCCTGCCACAACCTTCTTCGTAAAAGACTATTATACCCTTATTCAATTCACACATAAAAGATCAATAAAATAAATGTTCAAATTTTGGTTTCTCTTTCTTCTTATACCTCCAGCTCTCTCTCTCCAAACAAACATTCTTTCTCTCTCCAAACATTTCGTTCATGTCAACAATTTATTTTTCCCTCAATATCTCTCACCAATGACAATATCTAATGGATGACCAAAGGCTTGGAGGAAGAAACTGTTTTGACTACAACAATAAACAACGATGCTTTCACTCTAGGTAGGTATGTGGTTCACGTTGGTGACCAAATAAATTTTCCAC